TTGAGTCCCTCCTTCAATCCTAGCAGTAATACCGCACATCGTCACTAGGAGGCGAGGAGTCAAGGAGTCGAGATAACCGAGATAAGTGTGACGTGTGAACAGTCATCAAAACTGAGCTTGGCCTGGTTACCGATCCAAGCTCGGACCGGTCTCGGCCTGGATCGGTTTTTCAAGGGTAGTGTAAATGGGGCTATAAACTGAATTGAACAGAATTGAATAAATTTTACACAAATCAGATAATCCAGCAATGTTAATAGACAAATGCATTTTTAACCATGTATCTCATCTTTACTCAGCAAAGTTAGGCATAGGTTATAAAACCCATGCTGAATAGTTAATGTACCTGTTTTACAGTTTGTTGCTTTACTGATGTCTGTTGTTCTTCGTATTGATGAATAAAGTGCTGCTGGATCACTGTCTGCAAATTGAAGACAAGTTAAGGGAATAAACACCAAGAATAAAATATCTGCACATTGTAAACATGATCACAAGTTCAGCTTAAAGCAGAAAGAAATACGAAATAATGAGCTGCTTCTCCTTGAAGCTCTCTTCTTAATGCCTCCCCTTCAGGTAACTACTCTTGCTTATACACTCATTAAAGTACGCTATTTTCTCCAAAGAATCCATAGATGACATCCCTTTTATGACACCATACGAACGTCTGTTGGGCCCATAAGCACAGAAGACAGTCAGAATCTCTCCACCACAACTCTTTCCTTGGGAAAATCCAGAGTAGGTCAGAGTTGGGCGAGTTGGGCGAGTTAAATGTAGCTTTCAGCTCTCCTTCAAGCCAATTTCGAATGACCTAGCCCTTTACCTTCTTCAGTCCCCCAGTGAAGGCAGGTCATTTCAGGTACTTGTATCATTCTTTCAAGAATTACCCCAATTTTGGGCCAACAGTTGATTCAATAGAAAAGACCTGATAATAATTTAATAATCTGACTATATTTAGTTGTGAAGAAATGTCCTGAATGGACATACTCTGCAGGCAGCATCATATCACAGAACCAGGCAATAATGCTCTGAGCTCCTGAGATTTATCCATTCCTTCATAATTGTTTTGGGGGGCAAAGTACATAACAGAAGGCCCAGGCAGGATCTGATCCCACAGGGAAGCAATGTGTGCTGACCAGTCAGCCAAAGGCATATCTCCTTGGCAAAGTAGCCAGGACACATGATCAGTCAGAGGCATAGTGACAAGACCACAGTGTTACATCTCTCCCACTCTTTCCACCAGCATGTCCTTGTGCTCCACAGAGGCTACCACAGCCCTTTATAAATATATGGATTGTTTACTGGTATTGCACTGGTGTTTATCCTGCCAGCAATGCCAGATTGTTGCAAGGTACGGACTGATACCCCATTTACACTAACCTTGAAAAACCGATCCATGCCAAGACCGGTCCAAGTTCGGATCAGTTAATCAGGCCGAGCTCGGTTCTGACGACCGTTTACGCATAACGCTATCTCGGTTCCTCGGCTCCTAGTGACGATCTGTGGTATTACTGCCAGTATTGAAAGAGGAAATCAAGCACTTGGTGGCGGTAATGCACCAAAAGTTGTTTGCCAACCACCATAAAACACAAGAAGAAGAAGACGAAGAAGGAGGGAATCAAGCAAATCAAAATGGCGGCGCCCGTCACATTCAGTAAGTTATGCTTGATTACTGTAGTATTGCTGTATTTCAGTGTTTGTGAAAGGTTAGGCAAAGACGGCAACCTTTTGTGGATG